CAGGGTTGCCAACTCCCACGGCGTGAGACAAAAACTCACGCAAAAACGTCCTTACTCACGCTGAAACAATCCTCACGCCACGTGAGGTATAAATCTCACGCATTCGAAAATATTCTCCCTCTATCCCACGCGAAGCCATAAATCGGCAATTTTTAGCTTGGGTCGTACAAAGGGGAATAACTCTTATTGCAACGTTGTGCTTTGGAAGTGAGCTGACGAGAGGTGTCGCTTTACATCCGGTGGAAACGAATGTAATATATCGTAAGGTGAGTTGTTTTCACAATCGTCTGGTGGATAATTATACCGAACTACTCGGTAGTGAAGCGGACATAAAACCTATCAATCAATCAATCAAGTTGTTTTCACTCGTAAACTTAATATTGAACGTACCTATCGCACAGAAAAAGAAAGTTTTAAATAATATCGTCGTGTATTAGGAGATTGTTTTTAGGCCCTGCCTTCACAAATATTAAGAGAAAACGATTCTTGAATCACGAACAGACAGCCGCTGATGGCTGATGAAAAGTTCGAAGTTATTTTTTGCAGTAAAGTGGCGTATATGATTTAACACACCAGAGACTTGTAGTAATAAACAATTTTAATCTGATGCGATGAAAAAATAACGTGATCGGATTGCAAACGTGGTATAAATGCTAAGGGTCTTACTGTTATTTGTTGCTTAGAATAGTAGCAATAAGTAATTGTAAAATATTTTTCCACTGTCAAATTATCATATTTTCATGTTATGAACTTTTTCATGTTACTATGGTAAAGTTCTTACTTTTGATATGAACGGTTTTTTAAACAGGTCATGGAAATACAGAAAAAAGACTGCTACCTGTTCTAGGCAAGGGTGGAATCGTTACAAGAAAGGCCTTTGATAATAAAATGTGTTGTATTTCTGATGTCAGTTTTTTTTGTGTAATAAATAAAAATCTTTTATATATCTGCAAAAAATGTTTTGTTTTATTTTCCTACAAAGATCTTGAAGTGAAAATATCAACAATGCAGATGTTATAGTAGTCAGAGAAAGCCAGGATTTGTTCGATACATTTGTAAATGTTATCTTAACACCCAAAACGACGTTACGCCGCGACGCCCTCAAAAGTCTCACACATTGAAAACCCCAGTGGAGGGAGATCTCCCACACTGGACTCCTAAGAGGTTGGCAACCCTGTGTATATATATCCTAGTACAGATCCACTTTAACCATGGCAAGCCAGTGTCCAGACTAACAAGCTTCACCTCACCAAAGACTAAGACCTTAAAACTAACAGGTCACATACATCAGAGGTTCCTTAGATAAGATCTCTTCATTGAGGTCAGGTATCTGTGTATACATCATCTGTATGTATATCGTATCAGTGTTTGAAAGGTAGACTTATATTTTGATTCAAAATCGAAAAAAATCTATAAAAAAATCAGTTTCTCCTTGTACAAATAAAACTGCATCCAGTTCATTTCAATAATAATGTCAAGAGTTATTTAAAAGGTAGCCTGAGTGTTAAATCATGAGATGACAACTTGCATTTTGTTTAAGATTAGAAAATAATATGACATATGTTATGTAC